TTATAGTTGCCTTATCTGTATCAGTTCAGTTTTCTGTTTCCTAGATACATATGCTCAACCATGAATACTTCATCTTTTTCTCTTTTCATCTCTCTGTTTCTCCATCTTTTACTCTTGCCTCTCCACATTGCTTCAGCTGATAATGCCAGTTATCTTCCCTTGGAAAACATTGCCCTCAACTGTGGCACTAGCTCATCAGAGCAAGTGTCCTATAATGGGAGGAACTGGACTGGTGATGCGGGTTCAGAGTACGTATCCTCTAATGCAGAAGCCAAGTCCCTGATGGCCAAAGCCTCTCTGATTAATGAATCTGTTCCTGATGTTCCATATATGACTGCCCGAGTATTTTACTCTCACTTTACCTACAGGTTCAACGTGACTCCAGGTCCAAAATTTGTCCGCCTCCACTTCTACCCAACTTCTTTCTTGGGTCTGGATGTCTCCAGAGCTTTTGTATCAGTCACAGCTGGTAATTTCACTCTTCTGCGTAACTTGAGTGTTTCTCTCACAACTGATTACATCAACAAACCATATCTGATGAAAGAGTTCATCATCCATGTGAGTGGAAGAACCTTGGAACTGACTTTCACTCCATCATCCAGTGCTTCGGATGTCTATGCGTTCGTCAGTGGAATCGAAGTTGTTTCCATGCCATCCAATCTCTATATTCGGGGTGATAATGCCCATATTCCTTTAGTTGGTCATTATCCTGTGCTATATTACATTCATAATGATTCTGCCTTGGAAACCGTATACAGAATCAATGCAGGAGGGGATGAGATTCCAGCCAAATATGATACGGGGATGTTTCGCACTTGGACCAGAGATAATGACTACTCATTTTTACCTATAGCCAGTGAAGAACCCAATGACATGGCCTCGCCAATTCTGTATCCAGAAACTACTCCAGCATATGTTGCACCAGAACTTGTCTATCGCACAGCCCGGGCAATGACGCCCTTTTCAGATGAACGTCTTAATTTAAATTATAATCTGTCCTGGTTCTTCCCGATTGATTCTGGTTTCAATTATCTCATTAGGCTCCACTTCTGTGATATTTACCGAGACATAACTTTGGTGAAGCAGATAGCTTTTATTATATATTTAAATAATCAAACAGCTGAGCATCGATTCGATGTAATTGCTGTGAGTGGTGGTCCTAGAATTCCTGTGTACCGAGACTTTGTAGTGAAGGTTCCTGAAACTAGCGAGGGAAAGCAGGATATTTGGATAGACCTTTATCCAGATGTGCAGAGCAAAGCTCAGCACTATAATGCTTTCTTGAATGGTGTAGAGATCTTCAAACTTAGCAATTGGGATGGAAATCTTGCAGGAGTCAACCCTACCAGTAGCAAGTCTGAGTCAGTTGTGCCAGTGCCCCATGTTGCAGTGTCAAAAAAGCCGAAGAGATTGGTATTCATCATCATTGGATGTGGACTAAGTGTTGGGGCACTAGGAGTATCGATTCTCCTTTTCCTGATTGTTTACGTGTTGAAACCAGTTGAGCCAAGGAAGATTTCATGGCGTAAGCTACTGATCTTTATTCCTAATCAAGTTAGAAAACCTCAGAAGTCATCTTTTCGCCGTCATTTCTCCATGGATGAGATAAGAGAGGCGACAAATAACTTTGATGAGGCTCTGGTCATTGGCATCGGCGGGTTTGGCAAAGTTTACAAGGCTAGTTTTGATCAAGGGTCTACCTTTGTAGCCATAAAGCGGAGCAATCCAATGTCAGAACAAGGTGCTTTAGAATTTGAGACAGAGATCCATGTGCTCTCCCAGCTGCGCCACCACAACCTTGTTTCTCTTTTGGGTCATTGCCAAGACGAGGGAGAGATGATACTGGCATATGAATATATGTCCAATGGTACTCTGTTTGATCATCTTCATTTGAGATCGTCGAGGGAAGAACTACCTTTGTCATGGGTTCAACGTCTTGAGATATGCATCGGAGTTGCAAGGGGTTTACACTACCTCCACACTGGCACAGAGCACAAGATCATCCACCGCGACATCAAGACAACCAACATACTCCTAGACCATAATTGGGTGGCCAAAATTTCAGACTTTGGTTTGTCAAAGGCAAGCAACCGAGCCTTAGTCAGCACCAACGTCAAGGGCAGTGTTGGATACTTAGATCCAGAGTACTTTCGGCATCACAAGTTGAGCGAGCAATCGGATGTGTACTCATTTGGGGTGGTGTTGTTGGAGGTGATAAGTGCTAGGCCTGCTGTTAGTCCAGTTGAAGATGATGAACATAGTAACTTGGCAGATTGGGCTCTGTATTGCTGTGAGAATGGCATTGAAACTCAATTAGTGGATCCTGACCTTGAAGGTAAGATAGCAGCAGAATCTTTTGAGACATATATTGGGGTCGCCAGGAAATGCTTGGCTGAGAAAGGGGTAGAGCGCCCCACCATGAGTGATGTGTTGCAGAGCCTTGTCCTGGCACTGCAGCTTCAGAGAAAGGGTAATATGGTACCAACCAGGGATCGCAACAGAACAGAAAATAGCCATTCACAGGGCAACTCAGATTTGACACCTGGGATTGAGTTCTCCGAGATCATGATACCCATTGGAAGATGAAAGCATTTCCTAACAAAAGCTACTGTACAAGAATCAAAATTGTAAACTTGTGATTGGGGCACAACATAACATATTATTTCTGTAGGAGGAAAATATGATTGTTGTATTCTTCATACATTTTAAATGATAATTATTGTAAGACAGTAAGGATTTCTACCATGATGATATGCTAATTTTTATCCTTCACCAATTTTCTTCGATGAGAACAGCGACGAATTTTGCAAGTAGGAGTGGCCAATGTCTCTCTACAATAAGTAAATGGAGAACATTTTAACTTGGAAGATATTTTTACAAGAACAAGGTATATTGAAGCAAAGAAGCGAGTATTATGTTATCGTAATTCACAAGGTAAAATTTTTGGGAGTTTTATACTATAATTTTTAAAGGAACGTGTATAAAGAAATTAAAAGGTCCTTGAAAATTAATATTTTGATTTTTAAATATTAATTTCTTTTGACCGAATCAGGTTTAGGATATGGAAACCAGACATAGATTCGTTGGAGGTGAGCCATTAAATTTTTAAACCAAGTGCAGAAGTCCTCATATATTAAATAAAATCATTAATGCAAGAAACTACTTGGTCATTGGAGGGAATGTGCGAGTATTTGTGGTGGAAAGTCACTACATCCATTCAGGTATAGAAATTCGGTGCATAACAGTTAAGGGGAAAAAAAAAATGAAGAAAAACAATCTATGTGGGAACGCGGCTCTAAACTATTAGATCATTCCAAAATTCATACGGTAATAAAATATGATTTTAATAATAAACAAAACCAACAGTAGGAGAACACTAGCTCTCCTTGGCATCAGTGATATCCATTTAAAAACACTGAAGTCCAAGAAGTTTTTTTTTTTTTTTTATAAAAAGACTAATTATATAAAATAAAAAAATTATATAATTAATATGGACATTTTAGAGTTTAGGGCATGGTGGTACAGCAAGTTCAAGAAGGAACCTGACCCAACGTTACAGCTGAGGAATTGGTCAGTGTGTCGCTCCGTGCAGACCAAACAAAGCTGGAGTATTGTCTTTGCCGGGCGCTAGGAAGAGTACTTCAAGTCACGTTAACTCCCCGTATCCATCAACGAGAGTTAGTTTAGTTGATAAATAGTCAACTCATAATTCACAAAATTGAAAATTTGAATCCCTGTTACTAATATAAAAACTTTGTTACTGGGTTTTGTGAGTGTTTTCTGAGCCTGACAGCATATTCTAGTCTTGATGAGTATTTAGCACTCAACTTACGTGAACTTTATATTATTGGGGAAAAAAACAACTAAACTCTCTACAACCAGTGAGGCCAATCAGATAGAATCACTTGTAGTAAAATTTGCATTACAAAATTCATCTTATGAACGGAAGGTAGAATATCAGAAACATCATTGGAATTTAATTAATTTGAAGACTATGCATTTGGGTGTCGATGTGCTATGTCCAGTTAAGTAACAGAACCATTGGAAAGTTCTACCTTGTTTCATTTTCATATGAAATTTCTAGTCAGCTGCCAATTGTAAAATGCTAAATTAAATTAGACTGAATCTGATCATACCAAGATTCGTTGTCGGTAAGCTTTGAAATCTCAGACCCAAGTGTACAAATGTCTTCATCCAATCCAACGAAAGGATGGGTGAGACTGCCAGGAAAAATAAAGGAAGGAAAGACGAGCTAAAGCCTAAAAGCTTCATCACCATCGAAAGCAATCGCGCTACAGATGGTTTCCATCCATTGCATTTGCCCATTTCCATATCCTTTTTTGTCCATATTCTCAGATGTGCAAGACTCATTCCATTCCATTAATATCAAGCAATTGATTAAAGTAAACGTCAACTACCAAGTGACAACATGAACAATACACGTGCTACAGCATGTAAATTTAAATTTCATACTTAACTGCTCCCTCTTCACACTGTGACAGACCTGTCCTATTTTTTTTAATATTATTACTTTTAATATAAAAACTACTTAACTAATCTAAATAAATTAAAAAAATTAGTTAAGTTAGTTTTTTTTTTATCAAATTATGACTACCCTTAAATGACAACCCCTTAGTTTTTTTAAAAAAAATTATGACTACTCTTAAATGACAATCCCCTGGCATGTATAAAGGATATTTTAAGAAATGAATTATAAATTTAGAGTGACAACATTGATTGACATCTCATATGAACCAAAATTAATTTTTAACTAACTTTTACGTTAAAAAGTGGATGCAGTAGCTTCTTTTGACTGAAGCATGTCAAGAACGGGACACTGCGCGTGGACCAGACAAACTCGCACCAACTCTCTACAATACAACAAGTGAGACTAATCAGATTCATAGCCCGAACTCCAAAGATAATTTTCTAACAAAATGCACAAGGCAATCCTTCCACTCATCTCTTTTTTCCAAATATTTCCGCAAATCAGCCTCTCCATGAAGGAAAACCACACACTGAAGTTATGCAAGTATGTTCTGAGCTTTGTGATGCATCTCTCCTTTCTATTAACTACTTTGAAAACCTGTTCTTCAACGGATATCCCTTCAGATAGAATCCTCCTCGACTGTGGTTCTTTAAAAGCATCGCAATTCAATGGAGCAGAATGGATAGGTGACACTCACAACCATTTTTTGCCTCCAGCGTACGACGAAATATCTTCTGCACGCTTCATCTCAAACCTGAGCTCTGAAGTTCCAGAGATCCCATACTCAACCGCACGCGTGATTCATTCTCCATTCACATACTCTTTCCCCTTCTCCCATGTCCTTGTATTCATCCGTTTTTACTTTCTTTCAACTTCATACCTGGGACTAAGCCCCTCGAAGGCTTACTTTTCTGTTAAAACCGGTCCTTACACTCTGTTGAGTCATTTCAGCCCCTCTATTGCTGCTAACGATATCAAGTCAGGCTTCTTCACTAAGGATTTCTTAGTCAACGTCAAGGCAAAGAGACTTGACATAATTTTCATCCCAGAATCTCTAGTTTCCAATGCACTTGCCTTCGTAAATGGTATTGAGATCTTCTCGGTGCCTCTCAGTATTTACTTTCCAGGTCCCCACAGCCCCCTTCCTTGTGTTGGGCATCGGGTACCTTTCTTCATTAATGATGACTACGCTCTTGAAATGCTTTACCGGGTTAATGTCGGAAATGATTATTATTCTGCTGACGCTATAAATGTTTTTGGGACATGGAGTTATGATTTAAGCTATATAGCTGGCTTTAAACACGGAAGTGTCCTTGATATTAAGCTTCGAACAAGTAAAATGACTTACAACTCTTCCAAATACAATGACTATAATTATTCAGCACCAGCAGAACTTTATTGGACCGCCAGGACAATGGGTATCAACGAAGATAACACGAGGTACAACTTAACATGGTCATTCCCTGTTGATTCCGGTTTCAAGTACCTTATCAGGCTTCATTTCTGCGAGATATCCATGGAGATGACCCAGGTCAACCAAAGGGTGTTCAAGGTGTATATCAACAACCAAACAGCAGAGGAGAGCATGGACTTAGTTGCTCTGACTGGTGCTCCACTCGTCACCTTGTACAGAGACTACGTGGCTATGGTTCCTGTGGGAAATGGGAGGAAGCAAAATATGTGGATTGCCCTTCACCCCAACATGAAGTCAAAACCCAAGTATGCTGATGCCATACTGAATGGCATTGAGATCCTCAAGTTAAGCGACAGTAGCCACAATCTTGCAGCTAGTGTTCAACTGAAAATGGAACAAAAAGAGGAAAAAACTCGATACAGCATTATTATTGGAAGCACTGTTGGTGTCATCTTCGGATTGCTCATTACATTTTTCATTCTTGTTCGGAAATCAGGGAAGAGAATTAAGTGGGGACCTTTTCGGGAGGTGCCATCAAACTCAGCGGGCAAAAGTCCCAAAAATTTGCATGTAAGAGTCAGCTCAGGCCAGCGCTACCGATTCACATTAGCAGAGATCAGAACAGCCACGAACAACTTCAGCCAGGCTCTTGTCATTGGGGAGGGAGGCTTTGGCAAAGTTTACAAAGGATTGATCCGCGATGGAGGCACCAATGTGGCAATAAAGCGCTGTAATCCGACTTCCCACCAAGGATATAGAGAGTTTCAAAACGAGATCAATTTGTTATCCTCATTCTGTCACATGAATTTAGTGTCGTTGCTAGGCTACTGTCACGAGGGCAATGAGCTGATACTTGTCTATGAATACATGGCTGAAGGCACTCTTCGCGATCACTTATACAAAACAAAGAAACAGCCATTACCTTGGAATCAGAGAATAGAGATTTGTATTGCTGCAGCTCGAGGGTTACATTACCTCCATACAGGCACAAAGCACCCAGTTATTCACCGAGATGTCAAGTCATCCAACATATTGTTGGATCACAATCTCGTAGCTAAAATTGCAGATTTTGGGTTATCTAGAAGTGGCCCCACTTCCGCATCCCGCAGCCATGTTAGCACTGATGTAAAGGGTACATTTGGCTATTTAGACCCAGAATACTACAGGAGAAGAAAGCTAACTGAAAAATCTGACGTTTATTCATTTGGGGTGGTGCTGTTTGAAGTGTTCTGTGGAAGGCCAGCAGTGAATCCTATGGCAGTGGAAGAGGATGGCGAGAAGATTGGCTTGGTTGAGTGGGCTTGGCAGTGTCATCTCTCTGGGGAATTTCATAGAATGATGGACCCGCATTTAAAAGGAAGAGTTCCATCAGGTTGCCTCAAGGAGTTTGCAGATATTGGCATCAAGTGCTTGGCAGAAAAGAGCAAAGATAGGCCAACTATGGGGGAAGTGCTTAGTAGTTTGGAGAAGCTTCTGTTGTTGCAGGAGAGTTTGGACGGACAAGAAATAAATGGAGATGCACATTGCTGTATAGGGATAAATGAGAATATCGCAAGCAGTAGGTTAATTGATGAACAACACCTGCACGATGAAATTGTGCCAATGGATGGATGATGGAAGGTAACAAATGATGGAAACTGAATTGTAACAACTCAATGGATAACACAGAAAGTGCAGGAAAGAGATGAGTTTTGGGCGTAGTCATGGGGCAAGTATATTGGGTTTGGTGTGTGTGATCAGTTTTGTTTTGTTGTGTTGAGTGAGTATTTGAGTACCCCGCCCAGGACCAAGCAAGCACCAACACAAATTATCATTTCCTATGAAATATCAAATGTGTGAAATCCTCACTTGATGAATTTCGAAAATTCATCGGGTTGTTTGCCTCAAAGTTCATCGGGTTTTGTTTGTTTTAAGAGCTTTTGCGCAAATTTCGAAAGTTGATCAGTTTTTAGTTGCCTTTGCATTGAAGATAAATACCAAAAATCAATTTATGCCAACTTGATTTTGCATTACAGACAGATTATTCAGAAACTTCATCGATCATTGAAGGGTTCAAGAAAGATTGCCCCTTAGAATTTTCATCACCACCCGTTTGGCTCTTCCCTGTTGGCTGTTGCTTCTGCTCCTTGTCTCCGTCTTGCTCTTCGACCTCTCTGTCCCCATCCACTTTCCTTTTCTCTCCTGTTTTGTGCTCTCTCTATGGGTTGTCTCTCTTTCTTGGCTTTCCTCGATCTCGCTCTCTCTCCTCCGTTCTCATTTTTACATTTTTCACCGAAGCTCTCCCTGCACCTCTCTGTGTCTCGCTCCCTGTTTCTGTTTCTCCACACTTAACCGAATTGTGATTAAAGCATTAATTCGCTCACCTCTCCTGTATCTCTCCGACTTCGAGGGAGATGACGGCAGGGTTTATTAGAAGGCGGGAAATTTTTTAGGGAATGGTATTTTATTATTATTTTATTTTGAACTTAAGCACGTTGCGGACATCTTATGATTTCGTCTCCTTCAAAAACTTCAACCAATATAAAAGGTGCTTATAATAGATCTCATATATGATTCTCTTTATTCCATTTTGAAGTAGGTTTATAAAATTAAATTTTACTTGTAAAATTAAATGAGAGGACTTAAAGCAATAGGTTAATCAATGAGGTTGTACGGATGGACTGAGAATCAAAAATAGGAAATGGTAGAAACTGAATCGTAACAACTCAGTATATCATAGTGAAAATGATGTGACGCATATTAAAAATGATTCATTTCTCTGTAAAAGTGAGAGGAAAAAAAAAACAATGTCAAAACATCTTTTTTTAAAAAAAAAAAAAGGAAAACAAAAATTTGAAGGACAAGATAAATACAAGCTAACAAATAGGCATTTTATAGTCATATCACTCTTCAATCAAACTCGTTTCTAATATGCTACTGCCAAATGTCAATGTGTTTGAAACTAATGTTGAGACCTTGCCATCAACACGTTGTGGGAAGCATGGTTCCAAGCCCGCATTCGTATGTCTAAACCATAATCGGCTTGGTGAACACATGTACGGTAAACTCCATGGGTTAAAGACTTAAAGAAGTTCTCAGTTTTACCATTTACCAACAGATAGATGAGTCTGTTGAAGCCTGCACTGCCATCAATAAGATTTATCCATTTGGATTTCAAAATCCCAGTGGAGTATAGTTTATGCTGGAAGAATTTTCTTGAACCTAAAAACTACTATGAAGGACAAGTACAAAACCGCACTAGCAATTCCTGAGGCTATCACAACCACATTGAATCCATATGGATCATCAAAAACTGGGGTATCAAAATTCATTCCAAAAACTGCCGTTACAGTAGCAAATGCTGTAGCCATCAGGGTTGCCCCTGTAAGCAGCAACTGAAATTGTATGAGTTGGTTCTGAATATTGCCCTGTCATACGCATGTATAGAACCGTCAAGAAAATCTGGTGTACACAATTTGGCATGTGGAAGAAGAAAAGGATTTGACAGAAATAAAGTGCCAATGGTCAATCACAGCATACCAATTTTATGTTGATAAAATCTTCAGTGTCGTCTATATATTCTTTGAGCTGCATCACCAGCAAAAGCAAATATTCTCAAGGTCTAGTCAACGCACCACCTTTCAAATTATCAAATTATATGCCGATCTTTCCTCTTGTGTGTGTGTGTGAACATAATCATAGATATGCGTTTTCAAGTATAAAGTGTTTAAAGGAAAATAAAGAAGCTGATTGTCACAAGTAGCTTTCTCATTAGAAGATCAATTGATTGAAGAAATATCTCAGCAACTCAGGTGATATAAAAACCTTATTTATAAAATGTACCGATATTGAAATTTGTAAGTAGCATGGATTAGCCAGAGAAGCCAGTTTTGAGTTAGTCAAATTTCTCTTACCGATAGTGACTTGGTAAGAGTATTATCAATGACGACAAAGTACGCTTCAAGTAACATTTCCAGTGGCTCAATCTTTTCCGCATTATTAGAAGAACTTGACAGACTCTCGTGTTTACTCGAATTTCCAATGTTGCTGAAAGCCCTTTGTAACATCTGGACCCCACTAATGGACCTATCTGGTGAAGCAGGAGCTGATTTTGAGATCACTCTAACCCTACCTGACCTGTGGGTTGGAAGACCAAGACCAAGGTCATTTGAAGACTGAGGATCTGATCTTCTCTTCTTCTCGCTCAGGCACATTTCAGCCATATCACCATCATCATCCATGAGTTGCTCTATTTCATCATGAACCTGGTAGTTAACATGAATTACTAATTTCCGGTGGTAGAAAGACTAAATAATGTCCTAACATAAGACGATTAGTTTTATCAACCTTTTGAACTCGCTGAGTCAATGCAAGTAGATGACCTTTAAATCTCCGAACACGTTCTAGATTGTGAGTACTGATGGATGAGGCCAGTTCATCTAACACTGGATATACTTCCATTTCCAGTTCATTGACCTACTAAATCGACAACTTTCTTAATCTAACAGATAAGAGCTGACAGTATTATTACTTCAATATTAATGACAACTGCCAATGACTTAGAGATATCCACTTCCCGAAATAACTTTAGCGGAATCTACATACACACACACACACACACACGTGTGTGGGTGTGGGTGTGTGAACACATATCAATTCTACAATGATGTAAGCCAGCTCAACCAAAAACCAAAAGAGAAGAGAGAGGAACATGCGTGCGTACAAATGAGTAGGCTTAATAATAAGATTAAGCTATGAGAGCAGTTAAGGCAGCCAATAGCAATACCCCTGGAATCTACAACATAAAGGAGGCAGTCAAAAGTAATAACTTATTTAACCAAAATCCATAACATAAAACCATGCATCTTTTCAGGCAACCAATTCTGGCCTATGTTGCATCCTAAATTTAACATCTAATGAAGAAAAATGTTTCTTCATCATTCTAATAAAGATAACACTTAGTGGGTTAGAATCCACAATTTTACATCGCCCCAGCAAATGCTCAGTTTCTATTGGATGATAATATAGGCTCCAATAGGCCCCAGTTTGTTTGACCCATCTTTCATGTGCTGTCTAACAGTCAAGAGCAGCTACGAAAACATAAAAGATAATTCAAATAAATTTTGCACGGAAAAAAAAAGGTATTCTGCCAATAGAGAGTAAAAAAGCATTGGTTTTGTGAGTTAGCTAAATATGCCAGAAAATAAAGAGAATGATAAAATGCGGCACACAAATACTTTACTGCACATGAAATGTGAGCAGCAATATAACCAAAATATAGACAAGAGTTTCAATTCCATGGCACCACCTATCATGGGGGAAAATGTGTAGAAATAATACTGGCGCCGCTGAAAAGGTGCGGATTACCTAAAACAAATAGGGATGCGATGATGCAGGTCAATTGATACCTGAGCATCTAAAAATGCGCATGTCAATTCCAAAGCCAGCTCCAGGGCCCAAAATTCAAAAGGCAGATCATCTGGACCAAAAAGACAGACGTGTCAGAAATTTTACAGAGTGGCTACCGCCATCAAATACCTCCAAAAACTTAGCACAATTGTAGTACAACCAACAAACTTTATTTTATGCACAAGATCAGAAAAGCTACTGAAGGTTCAAGGATATTTATCATTTTCAGTTTGTTGCCATTAACTCTTTCCATCAAACAAGAACCACGACATTCGATGTCTTTTCCCCATCATTTTGCATTGGTTCTGAGAGTGCTAAGTGATAAAAGAACATTGGGAACAGCAGAACCATCATATTGGTCTCAACTACATATAACCCATTTTTCTGTGTCTGCGTCATGCAATGATGTCGATGTTGCCGCAGAAAGATTTAGACTCCTTACCAGATTTTTCTTTCTGAAGTCGATTGCATAATTCTGACCTGTATTTGCCAACACTGCCATTCAAGGAATTCATCAGGAAAACCTCATCAGCAGTGATTATACATCGGATTTGCTCAAGGTTGACTACAATTGCCTTCTCCCGCCCTAATATGCTAGAAGGGTAAATGAACATAGGATCCAATAGTCTGAGATCTCTAGAAGGCAAAGAACAATGTCTCATAATAGAAGCCTTGTCAAGTGTCACAATCTGCGAATTCCCATCTTGATCAATTTTTATCCACGAACGAGTTGCATGACCTCTCTTTTTCACATGGCCATTGATAATAGACCTGTGACCATTGGCATGAGATAAGACCAACTCAGGAGGATCGGATATAGAACAACCATGTGCTTCTTCCATAGGAATCCAAATTTCTCACTGAATTGATTTGGAATTTTTTAGCTTGTCTCCATCGTTATTCAGTGGTCAGTACAGATTACGAAATGTGGAATTTATTTCAACCACAGCCAATAAATACTGGTGATAAATCGAATCAGGAAATGGCTATCACTTGATGTCATCCGTTATTTGTGCATTTTCCAGTTTAAAATCTAGGACTGAAAATAGGACAAAAGAAATATGCTAGTTAGTTTAATAATTATAAAACAAAGAAAAAGAATATGAGAAACAAGGAAATGGGGGGAAAGGAGGTCAAATTCTTCTCCTTATACGTGAATCTAAGAAAAACAATATAATTAGTCTCAAGAAAGAGAATGCTCAAAGCCTCAAACTAAATCAGAGAAGATAACTAGCCAGTAACAAGTGATCTCTATCAGTTTCTGATGCCTTTCTGATATCTATAAGTGTGGAATAATAACCAACCTAGTAAGAGTCGTTTGTTCTGTTATGTTTTGAAATGATGGTTGGAGTGGCAAGTTCGTTAATTGACAGTCTAACTAGCTAATGCATACAGATCGTAAAGTTGAGTCACTGAACGAGTAAAACCCTAAATCTTACATCTTAAATACCCATCTTCCCCTAATATCCAGTTTGACCCATTCCACCACATGTTAATCTCGAATAATCGCGCAGAAACAACCACCGCATTTATCATTTCCATCCATATATGTGCAAGGAAGAAGAGCATAAGATGCGAAACATTGTTCCATTGGGTTTTTATTGCGGAATAAATGAAAATGAACAACAGAAACCGACAGAGAACCCCGGAGAAAATTTATAGAGTAAAAATGAAAGTTACTGAATTTGTTAACGAACTTACCATATACGGATAGGGAGCCCTGCTTTGTGAATTAGCCATGGCGGAAACAAGATGTTGTGATCTCCTTCAGCGACAATGCACCGATGAAGGAACCCAGAGTAGCTTATAGTAGTACTTCAAACACTTGACACCATCCGCATGATCCAACTGCCCAGCAATTTTGCTGATATGTGGGAAGGGCGGGGTACTATCCAGTTTTTAATGACTTTTTTAAAAAAAATATTTCTCCTCCTAAAAGACTCTTACACTAACATGTATAGAGATTTTAAGACCGGAAAGGTAATATTTTTTAATAAAAGAATAAGGTCGCTTGTTTCTAGTGACTTGTTAATTTTTTTTAAGCATCCTGTTGAAAACAAACATGTTTGAAATATTGTCATAAGATATGACCAATTGTGGGAGATTAACCAGTTCTATAAAACAAATGATGATTTGTTGATTTTTATCATTAAAGAAATGTTTCTGGGAGAAAGCCTTGATTTGTCAGGTGATTTTTAGCATCCATTTGGTACGACAGAAAATGAGAAGAGGGAAGGAGAGGAAAATTTTTTAACAAGTTTAATTTAAAAAATTAAACAGATAAGATTAAAAGCTTTTAATTAATTTTTATTACTTTTTTTTAATTAAAATTTCAAAATCCTTTCTTTTTATTTCCTTTCCCATCCACTTCCCTCATACCAAACACTAATGCGGTTGGATGAGTATTCAGGCAAAATGACTTGAATGATTTTTTCGGTGAATCAGTTTTTACTAAATTTCAATATTTTAAAACTAACTTTTTAATATGTCATTTAAATAAGCTATAACAAACTAACTTTTTATGACAATCGCTAAAAAAAAAAAAAAAAACCTCAAACCGAATCTCAATTACATTATACTAAATAAATTTTATCTCAACTTTAATTTGTAAAAATTACGAAGAATAAAAGTTACTTTTATAAGTGTCAATCCAAACAAACTAGCTTATTCTTAAGTTTTAAAAGTTAAAATAGATCATAAGGGTGTTTAGATTAACTTTTTAAAATTGATTTTATGAGATTTATGTAAATATGTGAAAAAAAATTTTACTTCCATTTTAAAGTGCTTCTTTTTAAATGCTTCTAACGAGTTTTCACTTTTCAACTCCCCCCATCTCCAACTAATTAGCTGGCGGAAATAATTGGCACACATCCCAAAAATTAATTCAAAATTTTTTATAATATTTTCTGATTTTTAGTGAAGTGCCTAAACTTTTTTAAGCCTGTTTCTTGATGAATCAATGATTTAACGTCTTTATTCAAAAAATAGTGCTAGTAATAATTTTTTATTCATTGGAAATTCCGCGATATTTTTTATAGGAAACATCCCTCATTTTTTGTGGATTTCCCCAAAAAAAAATTAATTTAATAGCCAATTGAGTTGTTAAAACTTTACTCAAAGGGTTATTTGCTGATTAAAGGATAAAAAGTAGAGTTTCCAACCTTTACAGAACTTTTGACATAACTTAAATGGAATAATTAGCTTAGGACCATTTATAAGAATTTCTTCCTAAAGATCTAAGTAAGTTTATGAAAAATTTGGATCTTTTGACATAAAAGACTCATATTATTATAACTTGTACTATCTTTAAATCTAAATATAAAATTCACTTTACAATGACATTATAAAGTAGATCTTGTACTACCTCCGGTTCTAATTATAAGAGCCAGTTGACTAATTTGAGGAGATTAAAAAAGTAAGTTGAGTTAGTTATTTGTCTTAAATAGGTGTTGTCTTTCCTAAAATATCCTTACTAATCAAATGTATTGACTAGAACTAGCATTATTAGAATAGCTATTTTGGAAAAAAAAAAGTATAAATATGAGAGAAAAAGTGGATTGAGGTCTTATATTTAGGATCAAAATAAAAGTCAAACAGGATTTTATATTAAAAACCGGAGATAGTATTTAATATCAGAGGTAGTGTTCAAGTTGATTCTTTTACTCGTAAAAAGAGTCTGAATAGTAAAATTGTCTTAACAAGATTGTAAATATTCTTGATCTTAAATGACTGCGTTTTAGAATCCAGATTTATACTCTTCTTTTTTTAAAAAAAAAAAAAGTGCCTTTCTATGAGGTTTTCTTTCAAATTTAATATTCAATTTCTACTGCAAGATAGATGATGACAATATTCACGGATTTATTAATAGCTTATATAACTAAAAAATTTAGCACAAATATAACAATTAATTATTCTTATGCGATACTACTAACAGCATCATCTACCATGTTTAAATGAGATCATGAGCTTGGGTCCAATATCAACATGGTTTCTTGCGTCCACGCCCGTTCAATTAAACTGTATTTAAAAAAAGATATATTTCATTTAATTATAAATTTTAAAAGTTGAATATTGATGTGTCAAAATATTTATGCAGTACTAACTCTGGTCCTTAATATAAGATCTTATTTGATTTTTATTTTGGTTCTAAATATAAGACCACAATCCACTTTATCTCTTATATTTATATATTTTTTTCAAGACACTTCTTCTAATAATTGTAGTCCTAACCAATATAGTTGATTAGTAAGGATATTTTAGGAAAGACAACACCTATTTATTACAAATAACTAACTTAACTTCTTTCTTTAATCTCCTCAAATTAGTCAACTGGGTCTTATAATTAGAACCAGAGACTTGGTCCTAATTATAAGACCTCATTATAATCTATAAATAAGAATTTAAAATTAGAACCAGAGGTAGTGCTACTGTTAGTTTATATGTACACACATATATGTATGTATGTGTATATAAACTTGTTTGATCTGCCTCTTCCAATTTCCATTGTCTTTATTCTTCGTATTTTGAAGCCTGACTCGCAACTGCAAAAACGCAGCATTTTCGTTGCTTTGTCTGCTTTGTGTTGTGGCATTTTCTTGGAGACAATAATAGGCTAATAGCTTTCTAGGGTCACCTTCCCTCTCAAACTTATGCCTCCCGCCAATAAAGCTACGACGGGGACCACGACAAGAAAGATGTCGTTCAGAGCTTTCTCACAGAAGCCTCACGTGCCGTTTAAAGAGCTTAGGAATGGACGGCCTCATCTACCCGAAAACGACTGAGATTGCATGATCGTTTAATCGATACACTTACCAGCAATAGTTGGACCGGTAGGAAGAAGCCACATTAGGAATATCCTTTTAGGATAAATTAGTTGATTGTAATAAAAATTAAAGGGGAAAAAAAACCATTCAGGTTTTGTCATTTTAACTTAGTTATAATTCAATCTCTAAAATTTAACTCCATACAACCTAATCCCTCAAGTTTTAATAATTTAATCTTTTTATTTCTATATATTTTGTGTTTAAATGACAATATATTTTTCTGAAAGTGCATGAGCTATTGAATTAAATAGCTTAAACCTAAAAGATTAGATAGGACAAATTTAATTTCAGAAGTTAGGCTGTAATTAAATCAAAATTATTTATATATATGGAGTAAATGATCAATTTTTCAAAAAAAAAATTAAAGTATGGAGTTGAAGTGAAACAGAAAACGAGAGATATGACTCAATTCTATAGGACTGTTGAGAGTCCTGCATAAATAGAGCTCATTGATATCTTATTATTTCTTTCTAACTTTATCCTAATTTCCTAATTTATTTAAAGGATCCTCTCCCAGCAAGTAAATTAGGTGTTTTGATTCCACCTTCATGATAAGATTTATAATTAATATTTTCTTAGGGACAAAAAAGCAATGTACTCTTATATACTTACCATCAAATTCCCAATGTTATTATGACATTGACATGTTTAGTTTTCTTTTCAGTCTCACTAATCTTATCATTAACCCAATCCAATCCATTTGACATATTTCTATGCAGCTTATTCAAATTAATAAGCTTCATCGAGCGAAAAAAAACTAATAAGAAATTAGGGATTTTTTATATATGAAGTTTAAAATTTTACATTAGGAAAAAAAAAACTGGCCAAACAATTAATGTCAAGTGTACTGGACTTGATGGTTAGTTTAAAAAGCATTAAAAGAAAATAAAAATCACTTAACATGACTGGAAAATTAGATTAGGAAGCACATGAGAGTATGTTAATTTTGTCCTCATTATTTTCTTAGCACATCGATAGTCAAGTATTTTAGTATTTCTATAGGCAATAAATTTTGCCATAAGAGATGTTTTCCAGCAATCTTCTCCAAAAAAAAAAAAAAATCCACTACTGTTTTCTACTGCTTTTTTTTTTTATGCTCAGAGTTTATATTTACACATAACAAAAAAAATATGTTATACTGCCTCTGATCCTTAATATAAGAGTTAGTCTGACATTCAATTTGATTATAAATATGATATTTTAATCCACTATATTTCTTATATTTATCCATTCTTTTCCAAAGTAATCCTTGTAGTATTTACACATGTTAAAGGTTTCAGCAAATAGTAGTTTTAGCTAATATACATAATTAATAATGATATTTTAATGAAGACAACACCTATTTATATAAATAAATAATTTAATTAATTTTTTAATCTATTCAAATTAGTTAATTAGTTTTTATATTAAAAATTGGAGATAATATAATATTAAAAAAGTTACATTCACTAAAAATGAATTGTACTTTCCTACTTAGAAATGAGTTGCGGGAGATGAATCTTCAAGTACAATTTTAGGCAATGAATTTTGTAATAATTTATATTTTATATATTTAAAATTTTATTATGAAAAGTTGAAAACCAGATCTTTTGCTTGTAAAAACGTTCCATGGGCGTTGCGTTCTACTTTAACAGCCAACAAGACCTCAATATTACGCCACATCATAGGGAAAGCGTTTATTTTGGACCAATCAATGGCCATGCAAGTTTTTTTTTTTTCCCCACGATATCTTCCCACCTAAACGGTAAGAAATTAATTTCTTAGAGTATTGTCACTTTGTTAGTCATCATAGTTAGAACCCCTCCTAATAATATTTTTATCTATACATATGGCTTCAAAAATCAAACATAAAATATGATACATAAGGTATTCAGATTCCTTCCACTTGGATCAATATTTATTGGCAATGGCCACGCGTGTTTTTTGTCATACCGTGGGCCACGATCACACTTTTGTGACGTGGCGTCATCTGATTGGTTAATAACATGAAAACAGCGGACGCAGCTTGTACAATATCCTCCCCCCAGCTTGTACAATGAAGATATGGCGCGAAACGAAGATATAGTTAGTTGCAAAAGAAAATCGGATTCTGGGACACGGCGATAATGTCGCAACATCACATTCCCAATAAAACCTTGATTTCTCATTTGAGATTAGTTTTTCCCCCCCTTTTATTCTTAATTTGTTTTTCTTGTTTTCAAACTTGTTTTGCGCTTTTGGCATCGGAACTAAGAGTCGAAGAATTCAGGGCAACTTGCAACGAACCAAATGCTTCAAAAAGGATTCTTAATCAAAATCGGTGCCTCAGATATGGTTTAAGCCACAAATGTAAGGTATCTTAATTTTTTCTGTTTGTGTTAAGAAATAAATGGTTTTTACCACTTTCTAATGTTTTTCTGTGAGATTTTCAATTCCTTTTCCGTTTTTACTATTTGTTAATTTTTCTCTGTGTTGTGTAGAAATCTGGGATAAAGGAATTTCTTAACGGTGCCTCTTCCGGTGACCGGAATTTCGGCAGCCAGACGCAATCAGTGAGTTATTCCGATGTCATGTTCATACTCTTTTCATTGTTGTTTTTGTTGCTCCGTACGCAAGGAAAATATTTTCATGATTGATGAATGTATATGACATCTCAGCTGGAATAAAGAAATTGGCCATTCCCTTCCGGGCTTCAACAATGGGAGAGAGTAAATTAGATGGGGATAACAATGGTATCGTTAATATGATGGCATTTTTCATTCTTGCATTGATTCGTACCATGAAATTTTGCATCAAGTGATGGATTTTTAAATTTATTGCTTAGTGCTCAAGAAGGGGTAGCGGGGTAGATCAACGAGCAATTGTTTCTTATAATATTAAGCTGATCTATCAAAATTAAGGCAGACTCTATTCTAAGGATTCAGATGCTAATGCAGGGTTTATTTAAGGGGAAGAAGTAGCAAACATTTGGAAATGTATGCGGACACATTTGATCAGAGCAAAAATGATAAGCATGTAAAAACATCTCCAGAATCTCCTTCTTCTGGGGGTGGAAGCAGTAAGCATTCCCATTCAAAATCTGAGGTAATTGACGGAATTAGAAGCAGTACAGACTCAGAAGGGCAAATAGATCTTATTGCTAAAGGTGAAACAGTTCTAGAAGGTGGTGAAAGCAATTTCCCCGAGACACATGCCAACATTGGCACTGGAAGTATATGGGAGCCAGTCAGGAGGTTAAGCTCTTCCTCTTCATCAGAATCATCGTTAGACGATGTCTTTGAAGTAGAGACAGTTGTTTTAGAGTCTAAGTCATTGAGACTTGCATCAAAAAATGAACAACATGATGTTTCCAGTCACAGCTCTTCGTCATCTGATAAAGTAGACAACACCTCTTCAGTTCCCACCTCAGCATGTGCGCCGCCAACAGTAAGCCCTCCAGTCCAAGTGATGGACCCGTCGGGAGGATATGATCCTAACAGGATTCCATCTTCAATATTTGCAAGAAATAATACATCTCCAATCGAATGGAGTACTGCTTCTAATGAATCATTGTTTAGCATTCACTTAGGGAACTATAGTTTCTCTCGGGACCATATCTCTATGTTCGATGATTTGTACAAGTCTGGGGAATTGACAAAGTCTGGTGAGCTTCGTAGCCAACCTTCATTTGTTATACCAGAGGACAGAGAAATTGACAAGGAGAATAATGATATGAAGGATTCGCAAAAAAATAAAAGGGTAGATGAAACTCATGAGTCAGAAAAGAGGTCGAACGAAGAGCAAACCAAGGCGCAGAGTTCGCATCCGGGTATAATTTGTAATTCTCGCAACGTCTCCGGTCGCTCTCATTGTAGCGGAACCAGTACGTGCTCTTTTGCGTTCCCAATGTGAGTCCTTCTTTTCTCTGTTCCACACATATTTCTTGTGCTACTTAGTACGTCAGTACACTGCTATAAATACCAGTTTACTGAGGCAGCAAATTTAGATGTGTTATGTGTGGAACTACTTAGCTACTTATATTATTATATCCTGCACCCATCCTTGTCCTGTAACGGTTTACATTAGGTTTGTGCGGGTAGAGCATCTGTTCACATGAAAATGTGTTAGATAAAATCTTATAGATTTAATATGTGCAATGAAAACTATACCATTCTTGCATTGCAGAAAGAAAGCTTCCATGGCCATTGTGCTGTCATTCCAATAGTAGCAGCGAGTTCTGCTACTGTGAATAGCAAAGTTATTGCCATTACTCCAAAAGGAACTTGTTTCTAGTTAAGTTGTAGCTGAGCGTTCTGCTACAGTTGGAGCTGCTGCCATGAAAGATGGCAATATAGTGCTTTTTCCTTTGCCTATGCATATTTTTACTCTCTACCTATGCTTGTAATTTAAGACACTTCATTATGTTCAGTCTTACTCCTTTGATTACAAGGATGTCTGTTCTTTCTGTCTTGATCCTTGCGCATGCTTTTTAATAGCCGTGTTTCCGGCAAATTCTCAATTTAAGTGCTTTTAAATTTAGCTAAACCGCACAAGCGAATTGGTATAATCTGTTTCAAATCGCTGCAGTTTGATAGAAGCGGACGGACCTAGTGCCCACAAGGTAGATGTTTCCCCACGGCATTCAGAAGAAGGACCATATGTTCCCCCAAAAGAAGACGCATCTAAACTAGCACCGCACCCAACTGCCAAGCGTTGGAATTGGTTCTGGTGCTTCTCTTGGTCCTCTTGTTGGACAAGGGACAAGTGTTGTCATTGTCGTTGTTGTTAAGGCAGTGTGTATCTGGGAATATCTAGGCCTTATTTGGCATAGCTATTAGCTCCTCTAGGTTTACAGGCATGAATATGATCAGATATCAAGTCACTTGTGTTGAGGATATTATAGGGATCATCTTAAGATTCGAGAGCTTCTGACTTGTGGATTCTTCTGCTCTCTGTCTCTGATGTGTGGAAATCTGTGTTTCCCATGAAAGTTTCTTCTTCCTGATAGGGAAAAGAAGAGGTGATGGAGATCATGGCAGCCTAGGATCTCTGATCTTGAATAACTTTGAACAAAGTGTAACTAACTTTCTTCCTCCACCTGTGGCGAGTAGGACCCTCTCATGTAAATATTAGTTTTACGATATGGCAAATCTTCTTTTTGGCCTGTACGCAAGCAGCTGAGCAATAAAATTTTGAACACCATAATCTATGGCGTGAAAGTATATATTTTGTAAATGTAGCTAGAGTTTGGATATCCTGACTAGCAAGTTGTCTTGTAATTTTTTTTCCCCCCAGTCATCCTTAAAAACTAACTATGAAACCTTGAGCGCATCAATATTATTCCTCAGACTGCATGTAGTCTTTATGAAATAGAAAAAGAAATAGCAGGTGCGAAATCATCAACAGCCAAAGATCCCGAAGTGATGAACCAAATAATTCTCTTCAAGAAAGGCAAGGTTACGTATAATATGTTTATGATCTAAGAGCCTAGCAAAAAATTGACACGAGAAAAGACGCTATCTGATTGAAATAATTTACTCAATAAATATATCATATATTACAAATAGGGAGTAGAGGAAGGGTTTACAACTATGTGCCTAAGCGGATGAGCAACATCACCACCACCAGCATGCTTCACAAACTCTGCTGGAGAGAGAAAATTTCCATGGCATACACACATAATTCTCACTTCCTGACCTCTACCATATCTGTACAATATTCCCTCAATTCTTTTCCCATTAGGGCCAGTCCCTTGTGTGAAAACACAAGGCATGTCTTCCATTGCATTTGATCCAGTTTCCCTACCTCTGTTTTGGCCAGGTCTTCTTGATGGGTTCTCCACCTCACTGGGTGTTTTGATCATATTCTCATTTGACTTTGTCCCAGAGGAACCCCCAGCATCCTGATTGCTTCTTTCCTGCACCATCTGATTACAGGCAGGGCTTCTTGCTTCGGCACAATTACTTGATCCTGGGATAAAAAGCAGTGCATAAGAAGATAGGAGCATCCTATATTGTCTTTAAAGCATTGTCCCCTTTTTATTATCATTTTCAGTAAAGGATAAGATATAAAGCTAGTACTATCTCCCGCCCTTAATATAAGAACTCATCTGAGTAAATTAAAGAAGTTTGTTAAGTTAATTATATAAATAGATGTTGTTTTTCCTAAAATACCCCGGCTAATCATACCTATTGGCTAGAATTATCATTTGATAAAACATTGAACATGTGCAACTATTATAAAGGCTATCTTAAGAAAAATGGATAAACATTACAAACAAAGTGAATTGGAATCTTATATTTAAGACGAAATTAAAAGTCAACTCATTCTTACATTAAAGACCGGAGGTAGTATTAGTTAAGAACTAGGAAGCTAGTGCAAAGCTATCTTGCATGAGTGTCAAGATATGAAGCATGGTGGAATGTTAGGACCCAATTACAAAGTATAGAACAGAAGACTCACTAAAAATATGAGATTCTGACGTGGGATTTATGGAAAGTTGACATTTGTATCCAAGTGTGGTTCTCCCAAAAGTTCTACACTTTTGGACCTCAATATTAGACCAATTTTGTAGTACAAATTACGCTACAAAACGGGTCTTACATTTAAGACCGAAAGGGTATACTACAAAATTGGTCTTACATTTAGGACCAGAGGAGTATCTTGTATAGTAAACTACAAGTTCACAAGGAGAACATGAAAATTACTCGCCCAGTGTAACACCTTACTCAAGACCCCATTCTTTCTTTTCTCTTCCCACTTCCCCTCTTTCCCATTACCTCAAACTTACTATTAAGCTTCGCTTAAGTCCCCAGGAAGAAATAATAAGAACTCTAAAGAAAGGAAGGAAGAACCGAGAGCTTCAACTTACTACATTGTTCAGAACTTATAAGAACTCTAAAATGATGCTCAACTATTTTATCTTAAAACAAGCTGAAGTGGATTGATGTGTACTGCTTGTTATTGAATTTATTTGTGTGGATCACAACTTTAAATATCCCGGAATTTATTTTTTTTACTGTCACAAAAACAAGTAACTCCAAAACTATTTGATTTCTCCAAAATTTCTTCCCTAGAATCTCTAGGGCTAACAAATATTAACCTCGTGACCACAACACTTTTAAAAATATCCCACGCCCCCAAATGAATGATCATATTTTACAAAGTCAATCATCAATATAAGCAAATTGCCAGCAGCCATATAGATACATCAAATATACAACTCAACTATTTTTAACCGTCAAATCAGATATCTAATGGACAGTGATAACCACCAAAATGATATATTTCCTATTCTTCCATGGTATACACCCATGAGGTTAGTGAGCCATTGATCAGTTTCTTCTTAACAATAATCTGAAGATTCTTTCGTTTCCGTAATTAGACAGCTCAAGAATAATACACGCCTCACTGATATCATTGTTTGATAAATTAAGTGGGTTGGCTGACCAAAGTGACTATGCTAATCCATCTGAGTAACATACATGAAAACTGTTTCTTTTTTCTTTTTTTTTTTTTTTGGTCCTACGATGAATGAAGCTACTAACGAATTTTGAAGCACACAATGTTCAAGGATTTAATCCATTTTTGCAAGACAAAACTTGAGATTTAATCCTCATCATGCAATCAAATCGCAGTCCCATGTTTACTTAAGAAGACCATCCGCACCAAAAGAAAGCAAAATTCCAGTAACAAGAACTAATAAATTAAGAAAACAAGTACACGGTAGCCTGAAGAAAGAATTGCCAACGGAATAAAACTTAAAGAAGCAATTTACCTTGAGATGGTTTGCCTTCCATTTCTGTCATTCCCGACGACGAGCTTCCCCCGTTGAAGCCAGAAGTCCCACCCAATGGCCCATGGGCTTTTCCTTGGGCCAACACATCACTAAGAACCACTTGCCTTGACGCTGCCGCAGCCCAGCTGGGCAGCCCAAAGGCCCAATCACTTCCCTTTGGGGCCTCCATTTCAGTCCGTCCTTCGCCACCGTCTCTCTCCATCCTAGAGCTCCTCTGCTTCTCAGACCGTCTTCTCTTCGCCTCCATTCGCCTTAACATCTGCAACTCCTTCCTCTTCCTCCACTCCTCCTCCGTCTCCGTCGGGAGCGAAGACGTCCTCAAAAGGCCTGGATACGACGGCGTCGGTGGGGTTGTGGACTCGTTCTCTCTCACAAGAGGCATTGTTCCGACGATAGACGATGATCGCCCTAACTTCTTAGCATGCTTATCAACACCAAATCGACCACCAAGCGAAAGGCCAAGATTCAGCTCAATCTCTTCCGAACCACTCTCAGGCTCTGGGCTTTCGGATTGTTGAGTATTGTCCCTAGACATGAATGTTCGGAGCAGATCCCTTGGATATTTATCTATTTGCAAAGATAGGGTCTCCATTGCTTTTCTTCTTCTCTCTTCGTTATCTTGGCTCATGTTTCATAAAAACCAGAAACATCCACTGAAATGAAGAGATTTAGTAGCCAGCAATTCAGCTACTAATCCTTCAACAATGCTCAGAAACAGCACGGAGAATCCATGACAAATACTGAGTCCCAACCGAATCCGCAGCAAGAGACGATATTATCCCCTTAGAGAGGAAGGACAGAAAGAGGAACAAAAAAATCTGCAACCAGAGAGGAAGAACAGGAAGAGGGGGGGGAAATCTGCAACTCAATCAAAACCCGAACGAACACTGCTCAATTAAAAGTGGAAGCGATTCAAACAAATTCTTTTTTTAAAAAAAAAAGGTTACTGATTTTTTAATTTGTTTTTTCACGCATATAAAGGGAAGGCACAAGCCAGAGCAAGCAGTACGCGACACACTTTAGGATTGGTAAAAAGGCCAAAAAATATACCCCGGGGGGGGGTGAATAGGAAGAAGGCAAAAAAGAAACAAGAAGAACTGGAGAAGAAAAGAGCTGCGAGCCCGCGAGCGTGATGGGCAGAGAGGAGAGGCTAGAAAAGTACAAATAAGAAAAGAGAACAACATTAGATGTATTTCAAAAATACCCTCACCCCGTGCTGTGACTAATGGAAGGCGGTGTTGAAAAAATATTAACAAGCTTATCTTAAGAAATTTTAAAAAAAAAAGAAATAAATTAGTTATAAAAAAATTGGTTCAAAATTTGTAACTCTATTTGTTTAATTTTTTGAATTGAATTTGTCATTCATACAAGAGGAGGAGACAAGTGATGGATGCAATTTTCATACAATTCTTTTTCAAATATATACAATTTAATTTTAATTTATTGCGAAATGGAGTTGTACTCATTTAAAATCTCAATATTTAAATACTTTTAAGTAATAAATTTACAATAAGTATATTTTAGCAACTTCATCTACTAACAAAAAATACTCTCTTTTCAGACAAGATTATCTCTAATAAAAAATATCCACAGGTAATAAAAAAATATTCTTTTCATCCCTTTTTAATAATATTTAAAGTTTTGAATTTCCCATCTCTTTTTATAAGATCTATTTTAGAAGCGTTTGAGCATCAAATATATTTTTGCTAATTTTACTTTTAATGAATTTTTTTATGTATTCTCTTTCAGCATTTTTTTATCACCACTCTTTTTCATTTACTCACCTATAGATAAAAACATAGTTGAAAAGAAAAGGTACAATTTTTATATGTTTGTTATTTTTAGCCACTTTTAACAATTTTATTAAATTATGCAAATGTTACACTAACAAAAAAGAAATGGAATAGATGGCATTCCAAAAATAGCCTTGAGGCAGGCGGGAGGGGGAAACACGGGGGTGCGTGGATGACACGATTTTTCACTGCAAATTGTCTGGCATTGGGATCGCTTTCAACAAGTTGTCTTTGGGCGATAACACGTGTCACGAAAAGGATAAGGGCTGTGGTGGCCACGTGTCAGTCAGACATCGGGAATCGGGAAGTTGACACGTAGCTTCAATGATGCGAACTGAATATTATAGTGTTGCTTGTCCTTTTGATCTTGTCCTATCACCATCACCAATCCTTCACACCTCACCTTTTCTCAGCTTTATCCAAAAGATGCTCTAGTTTTTAATTCTTATTATGCTTCTAGATTTAATCTCTAAATCTTCTCGTATTTTGATTTAGAATATATTTTTATTTTAATCACTCCCAATAATTTTGCAACCCTTGACAATTTGAGCATTCTGCACATCTATTTCTCTCTTCTGTTTTTTTTTTTTTTGGGAAGTAGCATGTAGATGTGAGTTACTCATATCAAATTTCCACAGTTATATTTTCATTCATATAGTATTGTGATGTGATTTTATAAGATATTAAATCACACTGTAATAAATAACTAAACTTATAAAAATGACTTCAAAGAAATAACAAGCTAAGTTTTAAGATTTTAATTATATAAACCATAATAGGATGTAACCATACTACACGAAGAGCTAACTAGTCTTTATTTTTTATTTTATCATTTTAAAAAAAACATAATAGAAATTTTGACGAGAAAACCGAAATGAACCCAATGTGTAAAGCAACCCAGAGCAAGCCTCAAAAAAATTCGATCAAACACTAAACTAGTCAAGAAAGAGGTGAATGTCTCAAACCGAAATTATTAAAATATTACAATTTTTCTTACAATAACAATATATACATATATATACTTCCCCCTTTTCTAATATAAAATTTTGATCTTAAATATAACACCTTAATTTATTTTATCTCTCATATTTATCAATTTTTTAAAATATATTTTTAATAATGATAATTCTAACAATATACTTGATGATTAGCAAGAATATTTTTATAAAGATAACATCTATTTATGATAAATAATTAATTTAATTTATTTTTTTAATATACTCAAATTAGTCAATTGAATTTTATATTTATATACAGGAACTTAGTGTACTTAGTGTATATAGAATCAGAGTTAGCACATATAAACACAGCAACACTGGTAAATGATAATCACTTAAACAAGATTGTTTAAAAATGATATTGTCAAAGTTCAATAAGTTGCAGAATGACGGAAACAGCAAATTAATTCCCTCAAAGAAAACTCTGGAGAGAACCAATCAACCAGCAGTAGAAAAACCGAAAACATGAAGAAAAGGATTAGGCCAAGCAAGAATGGGGATCGACAAACATAAGCATACATGTATATACATATATATATATATGTATACTAACTCCGGATCTTAATATAAGATCCCGTTTGATTTTTTATTTGGTCCTAATTATAAGACTCCAATCCATTTTTTCTCTCATATTTATGCATTTTTTCCAAAATAATCCTTCTAATGATGATAGTTCTAGCCAATACACTTAATTAACAAGGATATTTTAAGAATGATAACACTTATTTATTACAAATAACTAATTTAATTTACTTTTTTAATCTCCTCAAATAAATTAACTGAGTCTTATAATTAGGACCAGGTTCAGTAGTGCTTACCAGGAGAAGGGATAGCTCAGAGGAATCACGCAGGGTGTTTACACTTCAGAGCAATTGCGAGACGATCTGGCTCGGTAATCGATGAAGTGAATAGATGGGCCATTTCTTAAAATCTCTTTTCTGATTCAAAACCGCCGTGATGCAACATGTATCGCTTCCAGTTCCCGACGGCGAATAGATGGACGGCCACAGGTGGCGGAGAGCCGGCGGGGCGAACGTTTCGAAGGGAGGAGAGGTGGAGTGCAGAGGCACGGCTCTCTGAACTGAACTTGAGAGTTGAGAGAGACAATTGATAAGCCCATTTTAGAAATATAAAATATCATCAATTTAGGACGTATACGTGGCAGCGTCGGATTTGTTGAGTACAGTGTCTATCTGTATCCCACTATCCCATGATCTATACGACGCATAACAAAACACGACCCCTATGCTCCCATAGCTTGTACGATCTGCCAATAATTAATTTTCGTTTGAAAAATATACCCAAAGGTGTTTGGATGGAATTTAATTTTAAAAGTATTTTTATAGTGTACGAAATAAATATGTAAAAGAGTTTATTTTGTTTTATAAAAAAATACCTTTAAGAAAACTTTTCAAAATTACCAAACACCCCTTAAATTTTAAAAATTAAGAACAGACATTAGTGTAATAGAATTTTAATCAATTACTATAAAATCAAGTATAAAAAGGGTATTAGAATTTAATTAACTTGTAATTATGTAAATATTTTTTAAAAAATTTATTTACGGTTTTTTAAATAATCTTTATAAATAAAAACCAGATATTCTCCATTTTAAAAAAAATTATTACATATGACTTTGTCATACTTGAAAGGGAGAATTAATTAATTATTAATGATTTGGGAACCAATTTGAAGAGCGCGAGGAGTCACAAAGGGGTATTGTTGTGGTAGTGCTAGTAGTCTAGTACAGATCTAGGTACAAATGGAAAATTCGAAAGCCGTTGATAATGATGACTTAGTAATGTATCCAACGGCTGAGGATGATTGTTGACCTGAAACGGGCCCCGGTCAAGACTCGACAGGGAGAGGCGCAAAGTCAAGGGAGGGAGGGAAGAAACGACGTCCGGCGGGAATGATGGAGGAACATGGAGTGCGTGTCAGCCACGTGGTCCAAGGAAACAGAGACAGGAGCATGGGTCATCATGGTTCATGTCCGGAAGTGGGGCCCGCCCTGACCCAAATTTGCAACTTGTAAATTTCTCCTTTCCTGCCTTCGAAATAATGGCGGAAAGGGAAAGTAAGGGGAAAATGGATATGTCCTACTATAATACTACTAGTAGTAAAAAGGACGGAGGGGCATTAGTGTAAGTGGGAGTGCCACGTGTCCGAGCACAGAACAGTACGCCACGTGTCTATGACGGTGAGGGGCATGTACTGTGAGACAATGGGTTCTTATTTTATTATTATTTTTCTCAGTAAAATACTCTGCTACCCTTTTTTTTTTTTTGATACCATATACTCTGCGACCTTTTATTTTGCTTTAATTATACGAAACTTTCTTTCTATTTGATAACATATATTTTAGTTTACCCCGAAAACTAATGAAAAGATTCTATGTGTACATTTTTTAATTAAAAATATTAAAATAAACTTTATTTTCTACTTTACTCCTCATTGTATTAAACCCATAGTTTATCTTGTAATTTTAATATTTATTAATAATCTATTTAATATTTTTACTAAATTTAATAAATTAAAACATAACTTTGTAATTTTATTGAAAATGCATATATACAATTACAAAATATTTTTTGCTAATATATATTTAAAAAATTACATCACAAGTAAATTTACATAAATAAACAAGATTTATTATAAAATAAAAATTTGTATTTATAAAATTAATAAAATTTATAATATGGTAATCAATTCAATAGTATAAAAAATATTAAAATATTTATTAAAATTATTTTTGATTTTTTGATTTCATATGATACATCATTAAATGATAATTATTAGTAATATTTGTATTAAGAAGGGACAGTTTGGTAAAATAATAGGTCAACATATTGATTTAATGGTCAACAAATGAAAAAGTGGATGAGAGTTGAATCTTAAAATTAGAAAAAAAGTTTGTACAAGATATATTTTGAGTTTAAAAGAAATCTATATAAGTTTTTAAAATAAAAAGAAGGTATTTGTAATTTGAGTTAAATAGAAGGAAGTTTGATTTTTTTTTTTTTAGCCGAGAGCGACCTTTCGGTGTCGCGTCGGGCCATTCTGCTGAGGTCATGATGCTCACGTGTTCTCTTCCTTTTTGAAATACTTTTGAGCAAAACGTGTTCTCTTTCTTTGCACTTACAATTTGACTGATAGGGGAGAGTGGTGACGTGGAGGGACCCAGTTAGGATGATTTTTTTTAGGAAAATTATAATAACATCCCGTTTAATATGCTCCAGTACAAAAGGATCCCTAAAATAGTCAAATTAACGTGAAATTCCAAAAGATTTTATTGTAATAAATTTTATTTGCTTAATTATCAAATTGTCCTTATTTTTTTAAAAAAGTATGTATTGAGAATTAAAAGTGCAGTCATTAATAACGTAAGACGTAGCGATTAACAACTATCACGATAAATATTGATAACTCATGTATTATATTTTTGTAATA